TTATTTGCTGGTCATCATCTTGACAAATTCTGGAGAAAATAAAAGAAAGCATATTAAATGGTTTGTATTGTGTAGCTATCTACAATAGCCTGTGGGAGTCGGCTATTTTCTCAAAAGGGCAGTGATGTTTCTTGCGTACCATGTCAGGGGTGACAAATGGTAGTGAGGTGAGATGCATAAAGCAAAGACCAGCACCACCGCTTTCACAGGTTACATGTATGTCTGTACCTGAAAATGTTTTCACAAATGTTTGGGCATGCAGGGATTAAGAAAGGAGGGAGGAATAGTAATGTAGACAAAAAAAAAAACAACAAAAACAGCAACAAGAAACTTAATGAAAAGTCCTTAAACTAGTTTACAATTCCCATTAAAATAACCAAGCTAAAAGAGGTGTATTGCCCGCTCTCTTAAAAAAGCCAGGGTTTTTGATTTTGCTGTGAATGGAAAAGGAAGAATAGATGGGGCATACGAGCCAATGTCTTACTATGCAACAAAACCATGAACACCAGTGGAATGTTATTGTGGTGTGGTGAGAAACTGTGGCAACAAGGCTTGAGGAAACTAAACCACAAAGGGGAAGGGAGGGAGTAATTACTTTACAGTACATGCCCTCACCTTCATAATTGACTTGTCCATCACCATCAATGTCAGCTTCTCTGATCATCTCATCAACTTCTTCGTCTGTAAGTTTCTCTCCCAGGTTAGTCATAACATGTCGTAACTCAGCAGCACTGATGAAGCCATTGCCATCCTTGTCAAAAACTCGAAAGGCTTCTTTTATTTCCTCCTCACTGTCGGTGTCTTTCATTTTTCGCGCCATCATGGTGAGAAACTCGGGAAAATCTATTGTTCCATTTCCTAATAACAAAGCCAAAGGAAGACTAAATTGAGGATATACTGTAAGTCGTGTCCCAAGAGATGAGACTGTCCATTTTAACATGGTCACTTCAGACCCCTTCTCTGGTGCTAATATTCTAATGTTACACTGTGATTTGATTAGAACTATGCATGTTCATCAGGGGGTATGCACAGCTAGGTTTCACTTCTTTTAAAACCAGACAGAAAAACTTCACCTTACTGCATGTAAACTTCTGATTACTCTGAAGATGACTACTGCAGAGGCTGTCGAAACGTCAGTTTTTTCTGATTACAGTTGTACAGGGTTTTCAATAAGGTAGGTGCAGGCAAAAAAAAGCTTTGGAGTAGGTGAAGAAGGACAAAAAACATGTGCCACAGACGCGACTTCCAAGCGTCAAAAACACAAGTTACCAGGGGGGTCTAGGGAAAATGTTTGAAATCTCAACCTTCCAAGTTAAATTTTTTTCTCGGTCACCATTTGGCAACCAACTCTTTTAGTATAGGGAGACTTTTTTACAAATCAAGATGCCAGCTCCACAATTTTAGGCGCCATGGCGACCAAAATGGTCGCAACTTAGAGGGTTGAATCTGTGTGCATTTTATTTCCAGCATTCTGGAGCAAAAATAGAGTGTTTGAACAGAACACAGGCATCATGAAATTTTGGCTTTTTTGTTGGTAATTTCCAAAGAAAAGTATATGTACACGGTGAGTTCACGTAAAATAGCCCGGGAATTTCACCAGCGGCCAACTCTTATTGAGAACCCTGGATTACAAGCTCTAGGGCTTATAAATATAACCTTTGTATGGGGTTTTAGGAGGGCTTACAACCAGACTGAAAAGTGTTTCAAAACAAGCTACATAGCAGTGCTGATCCAAATACTTTTTGAATTTGATTGCTTTTAAAACGTTGCAGAAAGTCTAATCAATTTAATACAAGATAGAGGGGGGCTTATATTTCGGGGGAGGGGGTAGAACTGGTTGTATTTTTCTGTTTACAGGTGGATGGGCCTTTAATGAGGGAGGTGGGGGGGGGGCTTATAATGGGAGGTTTATTGTACATGTACACCAAGGCTGCCACTAAGATTTCAAGTTGCCAGATAAAATAATACAATAATTCAGTAGGTGAGGAATCAAACAGCTGGGGCTTTCTTTTGGTTTTGTGTCTATTGTCACATCAAGGTATGTGGTCCTGGGTATCAGGTCCTTAAGGTACTTATTGAATATAATTATTCATCGTTCATAAAATAATAACTAACCATCAGCGTCAACCTCGTTGATCATATCCTGAAGTTCTGCTTCGGTTGGATTCTGTCCAAGAGATCTCATCACTGTACCTAACTCTTTTGTGGTGATTGTACCATCTCCATCTTTGTCAAAAAGTGAGAATGCTTCTTTGAATTCTACAAGAGGATATATTTTTTTTGTTTCAGCACATTGATCTGGCCTCAGACACTACTACGTTTTGTGAACAAACATTTGTGAAACTCAGGAGGCTTGATAATTAATTATAGTTTCAATTTTGGTGATGTCTTATGAAAACCAAGAATTGATTCATTAATTATAAATGCAGGTCTGATAACACCTACCAGCAATTTGCTCCTCTGTTAATTGGTCCGCCTGTAAGCGTTAAAAAATAAAAGCCTTAGCATCTCAAATTCAGTAACTTAGGGGGAAACTAGCTTACAATAAACTGAGTTGGAGGTACAACTATTCATGACTTGAAGGCCATTAACTTTAAGGGGTGGTGAATGGTAAAATCTGAGACTCGCCGAGATCCTAGTTAGAAATCCGAGCCCGAGACTCTTTGGTAAAAACTTTCGAGACTCAAAAAAAGTAAAAAACAAACCATGCAAAAACAAGATTTCGAGACTTGTCAAAAACGCTTCCGAGATTTCGAGATCCTGCCAAAATTTTCCGAGACCCACGTTTTTCGAGGTACCATTCGCCACCCCTACTTTAAGTCCTGTACGATGTAGATGTCAATCAAAGTATATTAAAACAAATTTAAGCTGTGAAAGCTATATAAGGTTGCCATTGTAGAGAGGTTAATGTTGTCGTTAATGGAGGTGCGACTGTAAACCAATATCAGTAAGAAAGAGTAGATGAAAAGACGACTCGGAAACTCGATATTTGCAAGAAGTACTGCCTTCGCCAATATTTCTCTCATGGCAGTGGGAATCAGGATGAACTTAAAAATCACTTTGTAAGGGCGTTTCAAATCTTTAAAAAACAAGTTCAGTTTCAGGCCTTATGATTGCTTTTTTCTCACTCATTTTCACTCCAGACTTTTAACAAAGGCTGTTAAATGATGTTTATGGAAATTCAACCACAGAAGAAATGCTTTGATGGGCAACCTTCATAATTGCCAAGAAATAATTGCACCCAGATGTATCTAAAATATGTGGATGTGAGCAATGACACGGAAAAAACAGTAATTGCCCCACCTGACGGGCTTTGTTTATTGTTAAATTTTCGCCTGAACAGAGTTTTACTAGTATCAAATGCCCAGAATTAACTGATATACGAAGCTGGTAAAGTTTATGGTTGGAAAAGTTTCCTGTTGCAGATCATAGAACCTTTAGGCACTATATATGCAGAGAAACTAAGATTACAAAGATCTTTTTTGCCACTTGTTTGTGAGGGTATGTCTGGTACGATCCAGTAGCAGACAAAATATCGAATATGTTCAACGACTCACAAAGAACACTGCTTCAGTGCCAGGGTTTTGTTTCAATGGAGAAGATGTATTCCCTCGTGACCATGGAAACAAATACTTCAACGTGGTCAGCTTCGTAGAATGCGAGTGAAATTTGCAAACTCTCATCACGACACATACCAAAGGCTGATATCATCAGTGTAAAAAAATGCTTAGGTTAGTTCCGGTTAATATTACAATCATAAAACTCAACCCACAGACAAGCGAGGAAAACAGTGAAGATTTTTTTTTAAATGTCAACTGTATTTTCGTGCGCGCGTGGAGTTGAGTTGTGTGAGGCAAAATGGCGCTGACCAGTGTCTATCAACGGCCTATCAACTTTACCACAGATTTACAGAATTTTTGTTCGCTAGTTAAGTAAGTATCAAACAAAATCTTACCATTTTTCGACTGATGTCCTATTCTGACTTTCGAAAAACTTTATAAATTGATTATTATGTTTGAAATATCTTGAAATTTCTCCCGAAATTAAACCCCGTTTGATTGGCTGATTTAGAAAATAGTCATTCCAAATTTGGAATGCCAAGGACGAAAGTGCGTCGCGGGACGCCGTAATTATTGGCAAGAAATTTTCCTGAATATTCTCCTGAAAATTATACACTTCGACCAATATCTGTGTTAAATAAAGGCAAGCAATAACCAGTTTACTTAAGCTTCGGTAAACATATGCTTCAAGCCATTACAACCAAATAAATCTACACAGACACGTGTTCTTCCGGGTTAAAATTCAACTGCGGCATGTTACGTCACACTGCGTCAGTTCACCGATGTGCATCAATGCGGCAAATGCGGCAAATGCGTCTGGTGCGTCGACTGCGGCGACTGCGGCGACTGCGGAGGGATGCGTCGTTTGATTTGTTGACTTTCAAGAAAGTTGGATCTGGACTAAGGATGGCGGATTTTGTATATCAAAACCATCGAGGGAATTTTTTTTGGAATGGTCAGAGTATGAAACGAGATGCAGAAGTCTAAAAAGAACGGTAACTCGTCTTATGAAGAAGAGTGGTAGTTTTTTCCAAGTTTTTTTTTTTAACACGTTTTTTTGAAGTCGGGCCCACGTTGCAATGCAAAAAATACGCGCGACTTCCCTCATGCTTTCCCGGGGTGGGGGATACTCCCATACATTACCTATACGGGTATGTACCGCCGAACGGGGTCGTGATTTTAGAACGGGGTATCCATTTCAGAGGCGTTTGCTAGAACGGAGTATAATATTTCGAACGCACAAAAGCTCCAGTTTTGTAAGCAGCCATTTGAAATTATTCAAGGACAGATTGCTTTTAAAAATAGGGTCAGGAGCCATGGGCTCCTGATACGGTTCAATGCACTGAACAAGCAACCTGTTGTACTCTTCTTGCACCCTAGAACGGAGTATTAAAAAAATGGCATCAGTTTTGGGGCGAATTCTAGAACAGGGTATAAAAAATTGGCCCATTTCTAGAATAGGGTAACAATTTTAGGGGGAAATTTTTTCTAGAACGGGGTGCCAATTTGGAGTCCCGGGCGGCACATACCCATCCAAAAAATACCAAAGTGTCCCCCCGGGATGCTTTCACACTGCACAAACCGTGTTCAACGCTCATAAAGTTGTTTCAACATAAAATATGAACAGTTAATCAAAAAAATACGATCTCATAGAGAAATTCAAGTATCAAGAATGGGGCGCACCAGAGCTACATTTTCGTATGTAGGGCCGTATGTAGTGAGCAAGTCCAATCCAGCTTTGAATTTCCAATATTCGAACTCATTATAAATTCGACGCAGTCTGACGTAGCACATTGGTGACGCTTGCTGTGAGTTGACGCACTGTGACGTCACATGCGGCAGATTGTTGCTTGTCGATTGCTGCGACCTAATTTTGATTATTTTCGTTCAAATGATTTACGTACCACAATTCTTGAGTACAATTTTTCTCTGTATGTAATGTTTTGTTTTTTTGGACATGAAAGATCATAAATACTCGATAAATCTGGGGCCGTCAACAGGTCAAGGCCGCAGGCGACGCACCATGATCTATCGCATTCCAAATTTGGAATGAAAAAGTCATTTGAACGAGCCAATCAAATACCGTTTTAATTTGGCGCTACGTGCCCAAAAAATATCGGTATCGAACATTTCCTTTGCACCTGAATTGTGAGCGAGAGGAATTTTTATCTGTCCAGAATTGCCTGCGAAAAATGGTACGTAAAGTTCTTTTTTCAGTCTGATATGAGATTTAGCAAATGCGTGTAATTTATGCTAGGAAGCCGGCGTGGCCTTGATCTGATCAAAAAGTTTCGGGGCTTCGAATCTCCCAGCTGGGTGTGCACTTTAGGCTCAAGTCTTATATTGTTCTGGGACAGTTTCTTTATGTTTATTTCAACAAAACTTAAATTTAAGCAACTTGGATATAAGCGCTATGGTTTTATGAAACTAAGGGAGAGACGGATCGCTTCACCCAGTAGAATTTTGGGATTTTTCCTTGCTGCTACGTACATATTTTGCTTTAATATGTCCATACAACTCCGGTCCGAAATGTACACTAATCACGGCACCGCACGAGGTCTTTCCAAGGTCACGTGAAGGAAGAATGAAGAGTGCCAAATCATGATAAAGGAGACAAAACATAGCCATTGTGAAGCATTGTAGATTTTCCATCTTTGCGAATCTGCAGGGCGCAGTCTAGCCTTCATGTTAATTGTGAAATATTTCTTTCACTTGTAACTTCAAGCTCGCGTGATGATGAGTCATGGTTGTTTTTAGTGTTTGAACGTTCTGGAAGGTTCAGATTAAAAAGTTTGATTGAAAAAAGCATAATTCTAATAAATTTATGTGAGGTAGTTAGAACAGTTTAGTGACTAGTCTCTCTATTCACTTTTGTAGGGCACCTTTCCCACCCCTTTGACAAGCCTATTAAATGCAGTGTTAGGATTATCTAGACATATTGTTGGTTTTCACATGACGTCAGTAAAATTCAAACTACAAAACTATTCATCCCGCTGAGATTTTACTTTGATGATGTGTTAGGGCAGCTGAAAACTGATTTTGATACAAATTTTCGCTTCAAAAGGGTTCTTGGTTTTGTGATAGAGTATGCTTGAATTTCTAAGCTATTGCGTAACGAGGCATTTACATGATGGCCGAGAGAGCTGTCTTGTAGACTAGAAAAGTGATGTATTTCAGGTAATTTTGCTATCTAAACAGTTCATGTATTAGAAAAAGTATTACTTTAATGTTTATAAGTGCCTCGAGGATTAAATTCACGCTTTGTACCAAAACTCGGTAACAGATGTTTTTGTTGGTTTCCTTCCGCCATGTTGGTGGCCATCCAGGTGGGCACCAGCATTGTCGCCTTCAGACATTTTTTTTTGTTCAAAGAAGCCAAAGAAAATGAAAAGTAAACGCTTTAGATTTCATTTTTCAAAGGACACTAACAAAAAAACTTGTTGAACTTGTTGGTTGTTATTCCAGTCATCTCTTGGGTTGGGAGAGGTGTGTGCGTGGATCAAAAATGGAGCAATTCTCACTATAGAGGACACTGATACATGTACAGTTGAACCCCACTTTAAGGACACCCGATTATTATGGACAGTTTTCTTTGTTCCCGGAGAAAGCCCTTACATTTTCTTTCAATTCAATCTGCTTAATACAGACACCCGTTGAAGTGGACAATACGCACTTTTTTCTTTCCCAATAATGAACACATTCTCATATATAGTCAACCTTCGCTAATGCGGACACTTTACTGACTGTCCACTGTGTGCTGTGATAAACCCTTCTTTTTTGAAGTTAAAAAAAACCTTCAATTGACACAATGCCGATGTTCCCAGTGCAGTACACCAAATAGGATGACTATTTTTGACATCGCCAGAGTTTTGCAAAGAACGGTTTTTGTTTATGTAATGTATGAAGAGCAAATTTTAAGTGGAGATGGTTGAGTGTTTTAATGGAATTGTCCCACAGAATAGCGGCTTGGTGAAGTTTAGAGATGTTTAGGTTGATGATGTCAGTGTCTTGTTTTATTTTCTTAGCATTTTACTTGAATAACGCAGTGTTCTCCCTAGGACATTGGGAAGGCCAGGGGTACTTGGACCGTGATTTTCAATAGTGTTTGTATGAAGCATGAATGATGATAGAGAGAGCGACATACAATCAGGTCTTAAAAGACTCTTTGACAAGCTTCATTTTTGTTCCGTTCATCTTAGGTTGACCAAGTTCTCCACTTTGACACTCCTTAAAAAGCGAGCACAGGGTTTTCGTTTTATAAGCTCCCTTATGGGCCCTTGTGTTTCCAGGAGAGTTTCAAGATGACTGGCTTTCAGCAAAACAACAGACTTGAACATGCTCATCAAACAGTAGCTCACTGATAATCAATTAATTGCTTCTTCGATTTTGGTGTACTCAAGAAAGACTCTGCATGAATCGATTAAGATCTTTGTTGAGCATGCTTTGCATGTTGCTAGAATACATTTTCGAACTGTGCAGCCAGTACAGCAGGCTCTGTTGTGAACATTGGTTTATTAATAAACAAATGCTAGCACACAAAAAGCCAGTTTGACTAGAGAAAACAAGATTGACTAGTCTAGAAATTCAGGCTGTGTGTATCCATGATTCTTACCGGTGTACATTTATGCTAAGTCTAGTACATTCCAACATGAATTGCTCGTGCACAAGCAAGCCAGTTATTACAACATTGTGCACCTCATTAGCATTTACAAAGCGGGTAAAATGAATTCACTCTAATGAAAGGTCATTCCTCAATAGTCAGTGGTTTTAACTGTAGATTGTATCATAAACAAGGAGTTAACATCTGCACAATACCCAAAACAGTCTCAATGATTTGTTTTTACAGGCTGATCAACTGACAGAGGAACAGATTGCTGGTGAGTACATATAATGTGCTGCGGCACTTTCCTAATCTTCTCTCCTTGATGGTTTGGTGTGCATTCTGGGGTGGAACTATTCTTATGTGCAAGTAATACAGCAAAAGTGCACCAAAAGGGGTAAGGACAAAAAAAGGGGAAGAGCAAGTCCCACCTTATGGATAGCCCACCCCATATTTTTTCCTTACTCCTTTTTACCCCTTCAAAGGGCCACCTTTTTTCAAAGTCGCCTATTATGGTTGCCAGAATAGAAAAAATATGTGTAGGTAATTGCATGATTTGTAGTGATATTTGGCATAAATACCACAAGTGATATTTCGAAACTGTTGTACATAATAGGCGAGTGAAATTTGAGACAATTTTGAAATATCACGAGTGTTATTTATGCCAAATATCACAAACAAATCATGCTATTAGTTGTTTATACTAGTACCTGCAAAGGTTTGTAATTTTCACATGTAGGTATTTCAAATAATTATTAAGCTCAAATACCACTGCTCTAAGCCAATCAAATTGCCAAAATTTCTCAGGTAGTAGTATAAAATAAAAAATAATAAGTCACCCCGTTCAGTTACATAAAAGTTTCAAATATTAACAATCAAAGTGGCTGCCAAGGTATTGTGGCCCAATTTCAGGAGATGCAACTGACAGTTGTAAGAAACGCTTAAAAAAAGTTATTGCTCGGTTTCATCACTCCCAAAATAGGTTGTGTGGTGACTAAAATGTTTGCAGCTTGGACATAGTATTGATACTGTACATTTTCTTTGCTTCCTTTGTTTTGTTTAAAAATGACATGGACAGGAGGACATGTTTTGGAAAAAAATGCCCTCACTTACAGGCTGTAAATAACCCTCGTAAGCACCAGAATGTGTGATTTCCTTTTGCAGAATTCAAAGAGGCATTCTCTCTATTTGACAAGGATGGAGATGGTACAATCACCACAAAAGAGTTGGGTACAGTGATGAGATCTCTTGGACAGAATCCAACAGAAGCGGAACTTCAGGATATGATCAACGAGGTTGATGCTGATGGTGAGTGCATAGATAATAAAACAGTGCTTCGATAAGAACTAGGGAAATGAGTTTTATCATCTAGTGGGTCATGATTTACCTTCTGGATAGCATCACAAGACGTTATTGGAGTCAGGTAAAAGTGAATCACTATCCAGTGAATAAGCATTTAGGAAACCAATATTGGATTATCCTCTGGATACAGATTTACCCAGTGGATAGTGTTATCCATCTGGGACCCACTTGATAATAATTATTCTAAAGTCATAAAATTTATTTCTCAGCCATGTTTTTGCAACCCTAAAGTACATTGCTTACACAAGTTGCATGTGGTAACTGACTTCTTCTTGTATTAGGCAATGGCACAATCGACTTTCCAGAGTTTCTGACCATGATGGCACGTAAAATGAAAGACACGGATTCTGAAGAGGAAATCAAGGAAGCTTTCCGTGTGTTTGACAAGGACGGTAATGGCTTCATCAGCGCTGCTGAGTTGCGACATGTTATGACTAACCTGGGTGAGAAACTTACAGATGAAGAAGTAGATGAGATGATCAGAGAAGCTGATGTTGATGGTGATGGACAAGTCAATTATGAGGGTAAGGCTATTTCCATAATTGGAGAACAACTGCCACTGTCAATGAATTGTTATGTTGTTGTCGTTTTTCTTTTGTTGCTGTTCAGCCGTTATTGTTGTACTTTGCATGAAACAGTTACATGGTGCAAAAACTAGATTGAGGTAACTGGGTAACTGATCACCTACCACTTCCCAAAGTCAACGTTGATGCTCACTTTTCACTAAGGGTAAAATTGTGACGTAGGGGAGGGGTGGGTGGTTAGTTGCCCAGATGTCACTTAGCTGTATGGCAAACAATGCTGTGGGACCTTGGAAGAAGAAGGTATTAGCTTTGTAAATGATGTAATCTCTTTGTTTTTCTTGCCCCACTGCACTGATTGCCATCCATTAAGATTTTTTCCATGTACCATTTCAAGCCAGGAGCCAATTCTACTGTTTGCCTCTTAGAAGAGGGGCTATTTACACATGGGCAGATTCATGCTCAGCAAGTAACTATTGTAGGGAGATATAGGACAGGGAAATTTTTGTCAAGTTGATTTTGTAGAGTACTTAAGAATGTTGACAGGAATAATTTTCTAGAGGTCAATCTGGCTTTGCCTAACAACCCTGCATTCTCATTTTGTCCTTGCAGAATTTGTGAAGATGATGACATCAAAGTAGCTTCACACTTTCAAATTGACTAAGCTGTACAGTAGAGTTCATCAGTCAACCAAAGGGTCACATCTATTTGCTGCTGTGGTTATAGATGTTGTAGCCATAAAACTGGCAGTTATAGGACTTGAGCTCATAGCGGACTTGGAGACTTACAATGACCAGACAGTATACATTGCCAGCGGCTTGACTCTGTTGTATATTTTAGAAGTGCAGACTCCTGCGTTGCTTGTTTGTGTGTGTAAATTTTTGTTTATTTTTATTTTTTTTTTGGTTTTGTTACTGCATTAAAGGTTGATTACAGTTGAAAAATGATAGTGCTTCAGTGTGTAATATTTTAAAATAGTCATTTTTGGCTGTTGTCGTCTCCAAGTCAGTGGAGTGGCTTTCTATTCATCCTAGCCTGTGCCGCAGAGAGAAAATAATCTGGTTAAGTCTGTCTGTGAAAAAGTGCCAAAATCCTTGTTCTGGGGCCTCACCTGTGTACCAGGATTTGAGTACACACCAAAAATTTGCCCATGTAATGACTGGGGTAAGATTACATGTGTGATACAGGCTCAATAAATAAAATCCCCACTGCAAGCAAATTCTCTTGCCACCCCAGGAGGTTTGTCCTATATACACAAATAGACTCCGGTACAGTCCTGAGTAAAATCTTGGTCAGTAATATCTGCTAAACAGGGCCAATATTTTTCTTCTGGGCCCCCCAACAGACACGATTAAATTTTACTGGAAATATCTTTCGAGTTTTCCTTCAACCTGATTGCCATATCGACAATGGCTTTTTTAAACCGGCCAATTGATCATGGTTTGGAACAAGGATTTTGGCACTGTTTTGCAGATGGACTTGGCTATCTTTGGTGCAAGCCAGGTTCACATGATGGTTAACCGACTCGTCATAGTAGTCCTTGTTTGGTCGGGGGAGGTTAGATGAGAGTCCAAGCCTCCTAACTTTCACTGCCTTTTCTTGGCTTCCTCTCTGTAGCCCTCTTTCGATTACTGAATGTTTTAAAAAAGCGCTGATGATTAATTTCCCCCAGTTCCCACCCTTTTAGAAGTCCCACGTCCTGTAGCTGTACCCCATCTGCCTGCCCCTAGTCTCCCAACCGCCTGTACTGCTCTACTTGCTTGGTGACAATTATTTAAATTATTGTGCCTAGCCTTGACTTCAAAGTGCAAAAAGGGTTGAAGGGGTAACACAATTTAACAGTTTTGCAGGCGAACACTTGTTAGGGTACTTAGGCCAGACTTATAATGCAGTTCCTCTGTCCTCTGCAGACTCGGCTCCCACTGGATATTCCAATAAAAATAAAATAATAATAAAAAACGCAATGATCGAAGAAAAGAAAGCGCGCGGAGGTCGATGAGGATGCAACGTGTCCCGCGTGCTTCCTTTTTTCTGACAACACGAAGACGCCTCTGTGGAGGAGAGTTGCAGTTAACAAGTAAAGGAGGAACGATGCCCCGTACCAGGGTGAAGTTGAAATAGACAACCACACGTACCAGCACAAGCCTGTCCAGTGTCCGAGGACTACGTATCCTTTCGGGGTGGGTTCTTTTGTAACGTCCCACAATTCCAAGTCTTTTTCTACATTTGCGTTTTCTGAAGCTTAGCTCTTCAAAGTTTTCATGCTAACAAAACACATCCTACTTCGCTTCCACGCATGTTCACGGGATAGTGTCTTATTGTCTGCAAGCTGTAGCGTGAGTGAAGCTCGCGCGAAACCGGACATGCTAAGTCACAGAAAATAATAAAATGTGATAATCAAAAAAGAAAAAAAAAGTGCTTGAGGGCACTCTGCACCATGGTAATAACAACGGATTTTGATTATGATGATAATGAAAATAACAACAAAAACCTGTTTTGCGCGCGCGCGAATATTCGCCCGAACCGGGCAATGAAGCATGGGATTGATATCCAGGCTTTCGCGGCCACTGGGGAATCACAAAATGGCGGACGTTTTCTTACACGTTTTCTACGGTTTTGTTCTATCTAGATGAAATCTCTTTCAGGACTGACTCTTCCTACAGATAATTTTACATCAGGCGTAAGTCTGCAGAAGTACCTAAGATGTTTGCTCGTGCTGGCCAGCCGGAACTTGTTCGATCGAACCAAAAAGACGTTTACTATCTTGGTTTCTTGAGAGAAGGGATTGGGCAAATTTATCGAAATTTCCAAGGTAAAAGGATGTACAAAGTTATGGCAATTCACTAGTTACTCCAGGGCTATAGTTAAGGAGTCATGAGGATAACAAGTTATATCAGTGGGACTCAGTTTTTATAAGCGTGAGGAAAGGAACCGTCCCCCTCTAAGGATGACGGGTTTTAGAATAGGGGGTTCGGATTTTTCTTCAAAGAAGCCGATCAAAAGATAAAAAATGGAACGCCCCAGATACCCTTTTTTAAATATTGTTAAAACTTCCTTGCCCGCTTGTTTCTGTCAAAGTTCAAGAAACAATGAATAGATGATGTACATAGCTTTATCATAATTATTGAGTTCTCTAAGAGGATTGCTCACAGAGTGTTTGATTTCTGATACCATTGCTTGATCATCATTATCAATATGGTCCCAGTCTTGCAAAAGACAAATAGTGCTATCCACCAGATAAATCTCTATCCGCCTGATAGCGCAATAGGTTTCCCTAATAATTTCATCAACTGGATAGTGATTTATCATGTGGATAGCACTATCCAGCTTTTGAACAACTGGGGCCTGCTCTAATTTTGTGCATATAGCATAAGTGATTATTGTGAACAAAAATACTAGAACAGATCAACTCAGAAAACAGAATTGATTTTACTTTTAGGCGACCACAATTAATTCCTTGTTATTTTTTTAATCAAACTAAGAGGAAGAATTTTATGACTGTGTGTTTGCAAAGAAGGTTTTAGGTCTTTAAGTAATCTCGGGCTAAAAGACTTCCAATGGCATCCTGGTTGCATATCAAAGTGAGAGGCTTAAGTATTCATAGTAGGTGATATCTTCACCATAATAATTATGGTAAGAGGATAGCTTAGTTTAGGAGGTGCTTTTTCAGTCAAGAAGAAGAAGAAGAAAAAATCACTACATAAGTTTTTGATGTTCTTAAGAATGTCATTGCAGTGTTAATAGTTTTGATGTTTTTTCTAAGGTCCGTTCTCATGGATAAAGTGGAAGGCTGAACTTGAGTTACTGGCTGACATCTGTTATTTTGGACTTACTACAACAAGTGGTATGACATCATTTCTGTTTAAGCCTTTTCCTCTCGGCAGGGGTATTTTGCAGAATGTCGAACACCAATACTGAGTGACGACTCTGAGTTTAGTGATTAGGGTTCGGAAACTGAGTGAATCAGGTTCCTTTTTGGGTAGTTATACTGGGAAACAGAGCTGAAACTTGATTCACTTCAGAGTCATTAAGCATTCTGCCTGTGGTACTTGACATTCTGCAAAATACCTCCTAGGCAAAGTACAGTAGTTCCACTCAGGATGATTTGACACTTACATGGCTGTTAACAAAACCTTGTAGTGTTACATATTACATGTACCAATCAAATGAAAACTCTTTAGCAGAAATTTTGCATGGTACTTTTTTTAGGGGCTAGTCATTTATTACCTGTGAGGGGGGGCCAGCCATTTTGCTCTGGGGTCATTTCCAAAATCTTGATTGTTTTTGGGGGGTCATTTTATGAGAAGTGGTAGAAAGAAATATTTTCCTGTTATGTAAGCTAAGAAATCGATGTATTAAAGGTATTGTATTAATTTTTCAGAAAGCTGAAACTACAGCGAAAGATTAGCCTGCAAGATCCAGTCATTACTTCCCTTGAGCATGTTTTTGTAAATGAATAACCACACAGACATGGACAAAATTAATTTGCATACTTAAGGTTTTTGGGAGATAGATAAATACACGGTCAGTGAATTCAACTTTATGGGGGTCATTTTCAAAAAATTAGGATGAAGTTGGGGGTCAATTTGAAAGTCGTCCAAGCTTTCTCAAAATGGCCACCCCTCACAAGTAATGCAATTGTAAACGACCAGCCCGTTAGCGTGTGAATGGTTTTACATTGGCCACCGCAGGAAGAAAAGGTTCATTTTCATCCTTAAAACCAAAGAAAGGCACTTTGAAAATGGTAGGCCATCTCCATTGTCAGCTTTTTCGCCCATGCCGTGGTACATGTAATAAGTAAGTAAGTACGTAAAGCCTTTATTTAAAGAGGGTAGCACCTAATAGCCAAAGGCTAATAAACTTGTGGCCCTCATAAAATACACAACTATTTACAATCTAATAAATATTGTAAGCTAAAATATATAAACATTTAAAATAAAACAAGATTCGATTTTTATATAAAAACAAAAAAAAAAGGCAACAAAAAAAAATTATTAAATGATAAAATGATGCAAACATTGTTGTTCCTTAAAAATCTTGGCAAAAATGTTCTTTTTAAAACATGCTACAGAATCTAGTTTCCTAATTTCAATTGGTGTACTATTCCACAGTCTTGTTGCCGAAAGAGCGTCCTCCCTCTGTTTCTCTTCTATATTTAGGACAAACAGCATTAATGCTTGAATATCTAGTGTTGCGGGAGTGCCGCGTATTATTCAAAATTAAGTGTTCATTTAGATAATTCGGCAAATACACATTAATTTGCTTATACATTATTATGCATTTATCTATCTTGTGTTGCTCATAAAACGGAATCCAACCTAGCTTGTTAAACAAAGCAACTGATGGTGTCATGCGATCGGCATAAGAAATAAGAAATAACACGTGCCGCACGTTTTTGCAATCTTAAGACCCTATAAACCGACTCTTTATCACAATAATTTGCCCAAACAACGTTAGCATAAGACATAACAGGGCGAATAATGCTATTATAAAACTGAAGTCGCTGTTTAAGAGGTAGACAGGCTCGAATCTTACGCAGTATTGCGATTCTAGAGGCCAACTTTTTACATACTTTCTCAATATGTTCATTAAATGACAATTTGCTGTCGATTTCTACGCCTAATAAGGTAGCACAATCCACATTACTGAGCTGTTTTCTGTTTAGGAAAACATCTATGTCACTTCCATTTATGTTAGCCACACAACTTTTCCCAGTGATCGTGAGTACTTTAGTCTTGTCTTCATTTAATGGGAGCTTATTTGCTGAAGCCCATAATTGAATTTCAGAGACAGACTTATTTAGTGATGAACTTAAGGTGGCTAAGTTTTTCACATCCGCAAAAGCGGTGACAGTCGTATCATCTGCGTAAAGGTCCAACTGAGCACTTGTATACAAGGGCAGATCGTTGATAAACAAAATGAAGAATAAAGGACCTAAAATACTGCCCTGAGGGACTCCATGCAACATCAATGCTTCGCTTGACTCACTCCCATTTACACGGACCACTTGCTTCCTATCCAACAAGTAAGAGTGACACCAGGCAAGCTCCCGGTTGACTATACCGTACAGTTCCAACTTGCGCAACAATAGCAAATGGACTACCTTTTCTTTCTTGTAACCACTCAAGTGTACATTGAAGCAAGCAGTAATTTCATCTTTAGATAAAAGATTGGTAACGTGATATTTAGTCATAGAAGGTGTTACATAAAATAGTTTTCTATTAATTCCATTTGTTAAAATAAGTCTGTCACTGCCATTCTGTCATTGTTAACAATAATATATAATAATATTGTATTGTTACTTTCAATCCCCCTTGTGTAACCACCTCTTTTAAGCAACCGCTTCTCAAATTTTTGAAACACTGTAGTTGAAACCTCTTGTACAATTGTAATCCACCGGTCACCTCTGGATTTAAGCAATCATCAAATCTTTGCATTATTACACTGTAAGTGGTTTCTTATAGGAGGGTTACAAACCTTACAGTATTGTTAGTAATTCAATAGACATAAGTGATTGCTGATCATTTTCTCTTTTAGGATTTCAAACTCTTGGTGAAGAATACTGCAACATTGTTCAAGTTGATCAAACCAGAACATGGGTCCCTTCCACCATGGTAAGCTGAAGTATGTCACCTTGATTGAATAATCAATAATCTCTAAAAAAGTATTCTCTGGTTTCGGTACTCTTTTAATTAATTTTCTATGTTAGACTGATGTTTTTTAACCATGTATACATAAAGTTATCATTTATTCCTTCATAACATGAATTCACAACAACCAACATTTATACCACACACATACATTTTAGCCTTAAAAATGATGGCTTTAAACATAAAAAGAAGGTATAAATAACACAGAAAATTCAAAAGGAGGCAACTGATTGCAATTTTATTGTGGTTTTTGACAACTTTTAGCCTAAGATAAGAAGTAGTCAAAGTTCACTTTTCTTGTTTGTATTGTATTATTGTATTGTATTGTATTGTATTGTATTGTATTGTAATATTGCAATGCAATGCATTGCAATGCATTGCATTGTATAATGCTTGGGATGAAGCTCATGAGATATTGTCTTTCACAAGTGATTTCTCAAGTTCCATGGCTAATAAGGACGCCTAATTTATTGGCATTAGCAACAAAGTATGAACTACATGTAGACAGCCTTGACAGTCATCCCCTTTATTAAAGAGGTGATGTTACAGTCAAGGCAGGTCAAGCTTACCCCCAAGATTCTATTAATGAATTGATTATTTGAAAAATGAATCTGTTAGGGGTTTCTGTAGCTAGTGTCAAATTCAAATCAGCATTCCTGCTTGCAAAATGAGCAGTGAATATTTTACGAGAACTTCTCTGTATTTTGGTCAGGTTGAAAATCTTTGAATGAATTAAATTGTTTAGAAGACATTTACATCAAATTCAGGGAAACTGAGCTGATAGAAATTTTGTAACTGCCTAATGCGTGTGAATTCATGGCTCATTACACATGTAAGAATGCAGAGATGAATCTGAAATCTACAACTACCAAAGGATTCAACTGTTGAATAATAAGTTCATTAATGAAATCTTGGGGGGTAGGCTTCATCTGGGTTGACTGTAAGTACTATATATGGATAGACTACGAGTAGTCCCCCATTTTTCCTCAGAGATAGTAGAACAAGCAAAACGCGAGCACGCGTGAAAATCACCCCACGTGAGAAAAGGCGGCACGCGGCGGGAAGAGAGAGAAATGAGGCACTACAGACAAAGCCCAAGCTTTTGACCCTTCACAGCCGACTGATTTTGGATTGTGAAGTTCGTATCCCCTTCCAAATCAATTAAGAGCATCCAATGGGATTCCTTCCCTCATTGAGCTGTCATTGCTCTGGTCATCTGTAAAGTGCGGAGGATATTTATTGCAAGCAAAGTAGAATCCAGATGCTTTTTCTTTACGGCTGTTTCGCGTGAAGAACTTGATAGTGTAGGCAACACATGACTTTTACTCATGCCAAAATGCTGCTTGTTCCAATGATTTTTTCTCTCTGACAGGTTGATTATGCTCTGGAGGAAAACGTTTTGACTGAGCAAATGTGATTTTTGCCGCATATTTCATACTGAAAGGTCGTGACACGCATATTAATTTTCTGCGGTTATTGTTTATGGTCGGCATGATTTGTCCTCTGATGCAAGAGCATTTTCTTTGACCTCTTTTGAAAACTAGAGCTCTTCAATGCGGCTAAATGAGGGTTTTGGGTTGTTTAATTTCTCTGGCGGTTGCCCTCTGGATCTGAATAATTTTAAGGGATTTTTTTTTGGCCGTGAATGTGATGGTTTCCTGCAATGTTGTGTCAGGCTGGTCCCAGCTTGTCAGGGTTTTTAGCAGGACGGATATATCCAAATCTCGAAGAATGGATTGCAGCTTAAACTAAAACTACATCAACTATTGATGTGATGTGACTCAGTCATGACTGCTCATGAATTTTAACTGCCGCTTGTTTTTCTGGAGGTAATGTGAGTCCAATAATGTCATAGCTTTTGAATAAGCTTAACAGCCTTTCGACTGTTCTGTTATTCCCACTTTGTGATCAGGCAAGACCATGGTTTCAGTCTCCACGCAAACCTCATCAGTTGCTGGGTTGTCTCTCTTCTTAGTTGCTTCTTCAAGAGCAACTCTAGTTATTTGTTCTGTGCTGTTATTTGTTCTGCTCTAGTTATTTGTTCTGCTCTAGTTATTTGTTCTGTAAATTGTGATAATATCTAGTATTGATAGCGGCTGGTGTGTTTTTGACAGATGTTGACCGATTTCCATGGAATAGCCAATCAGAGTTTTGTGTTGTGAGAGCAACGCATAAGCTTGGGCTTTGTCTGTAGTCCCTCATTTTTTTTTCTCCCTGCCGTGTGTCGCTTTTACTCGCGTGGGGTGATTTTCACGCGTGCTCGCGTTTCGCTCGCTCTACTATCCCTGAGGAAAAATGGGGGACTACTCGTAGTCTAATATATGGACTGAGTGGTCATTTTGTCATAATTTTTTTGCTCTTTTGCTTTATTATATTTATATTTATTATTATTATTATTATTTTGTATTTTTTAGAGAAGAGGATGTCTAGTCCTTCTTTATGTTTTTGGTCCATATGTTATTGAGAAGATGATAATGAAACTTGAGCGATGGTTGCAAAGTCAAGAAAATTGGCCCAAAGGTAGGGAGCAATTTTTCAAAGATGAGATCAATAATTATATTTCATTGAAATAACACCACACTCATCAATTTTCTGTCACACATTGATTAAGACAAGTGAGCTGTAGTACATGTATAAACCAAGCAAGTTTCTCTCTATTCCTGAAGTTTTATACTTGCCCAGAGCAGCGTTGCCACTGGCCTAGACCAATCCCTTATTTCACCAACATTAATTTGTTTTTTCTTAGCTGATTTTGCTTTAATACTTACATGTATCAGGCAGCTTGTAATAAAAATGTTCTACAATCTTGGACAAAAAGTGTTTTAAGAATTTTGCACTTTCTTACCCACAGAAGACCTATCCTGCAGATTTGGTACTGCTATCCGCCCCTTTCCTTACCCCATCCTCCTCAATGTTAATTAGTCGGGGTCAGAAAAGATCCGGCCCAAGATTAAGATTGTCCAAGATTGTAGCCCACTGGGTTGCTCCACTAGCCCTGGGCTATCAGAAGGCACTTTTGTTGTGCCCTGATGTGACAGGCCAACTGATAGGGTGTAGTAGCCTATTAATATTATTATTGGATGCAGTTTTTAAGTCAACTTTGCAAAAGCCCATCATGTGGCATACAGTGTAATACATGTATCAGGAGCCTCTAATGTGATGCCAGTGTTCAATGCAAAGTTAAAAGTTCCCTAGAGAATTCATGTCAATACAGTGAAATTAACTCTCTATAACGAAGTACATACCAAGGAACTGCCAAAATGTGTTTGCGGTAATGAGATTTGCTTTATATCCCCGGTACATTGAGGTTCTTTTCCACATAGTTCTCTTACTCAGGCGAAGAATACTGTTTATTATGAGAAACTGCCCACCCATCCCTCCCATAATCCAGCAATAAAACTATTTTCTCACTTTAATGGGCAAACTGTTGGGTTAGGGGAGGGGTATGTGGGAAGTTAAGTAGAGTCTTACACTGATCCAATCGTTCCAGCTCACCTCTTGCAGTGTAATGTGTTGAAAAATATTGGTGAGATAAATTTTATTTTGCAACACAAGAAGAGGAATTTCCTATCTCTAAGCAGCCCTGTAATATTGTATTTTACCATAATTTATAAACATCGTTGATGAAATACCAAACCATTTGCTTTGAAATTCGTGATTTATTATGTAGCCATAGCAACAGTGATCTTTTCATGTGTGAAGATCACATGTTATTTTCACTTGTCAAGATATCATGTTTTTGCCCAGAAGCTCACCTGGTATTTCATTTGTGTTTATATAATACCTTTTCATCTTTCTTTCTGCAACATGTAGGACTTAATCATCCAAGAATAAGAGAGATTCTGTCAGCTTTGATTCCCCTTCTCAGAACAGCAGTTGTTTGTAAGTACACATAAATATTAAACGAACAGGTTCACGATTCAGCGCGTGCTCGTTAATCAAAATGCTATTTTTCTGCTGAGACATGATGTATCGTCTGAAGGTAATATGATCATGTCATAATGTTGTCAAAGAACCAATCTGCACACTCCCCTGGCAGTCACTTGATCAAGTTAGGTGCAAATAGCTGTAAATTAATCAACCATGGAATAAAACCGTCGGGTCAACAATAAATTCAATGTTGGTAGTGCTGGCATAATCCACTAATTTTTCTGTGATTTTGGTACTCCTCCATCCTACTTCAGGTTACTCTGAAATACACTCAGTCTACTTTGAAATACACTCTGAGATCACATGAGTGGGATTTTTAACCGATAGAATTAATAATAAATTGGAAAAAAGTAATGTAATTAATGAGCATGCGCTGAACCGTGAACCTGTCCCTTTAATTGTTTCGAAGCTGCAAATTAATTATTTTTTCTTTCTTGGTTAGGCTCCGTTTCTCAAACATGTATTGTTATGTTTTCATTATTTCAGATACTCACAGAGCACACATGGCCCTGTTTTATTTAACAGGAGTATTTTATCACATTGCGAAAAGGATTACTGGAGTCCAGTATGTGAGTAACAACTTGATTTTTTTTTTTTTACTCACGGGTAATCTAACATTATGAAACTTGGTGTATTTCGATTAACATTAGCCCCATAATCACCCCCACCCCCCTCCCCTCGCCCATGATTGCTCCACCACCAGGGCCTACATCTTCATGTACTCTTTTTAAGCAGCAGTGTGGTTGGAGTGCGGTTTCTGCCCCCTTCCACAGTATCCGGATATTTTTGAAAACTGAGTTTTTTTCTCCGTTTTCAAAACAAAAATAAAATAAAATAAAATAAAAATACGACCCACACCGTAAGGTATTCGCATCTTTTTCGCCCGTCCAAACGAAAACGCTAAAACAATGGAAATACGCTAGCATCCCTTACGGAGCATGTGTCGTGCTAGAAGTATATGATGTATGACATCATCGTATTCGAAAACCTGCGTTTTCGTCCGTCCACACGTAAACGAGAAGCCGAAAATATGCACTCTGGAGAGCGTTTTTGAAAAAAATGCGTTGTCGGTGACTGTTTCCACCGGATAGGACGGTAGACCAAACCGGAGGGGAAAAAACGGTTCAAACAAGAATGGATCCCTGTGAACAGGGCCTCTATTAGGTCGCGCTAAAGTGAGATCAATGCAGTGCAGTGCAAAGCCTGCAGTGCCTGGCTCTCAGGCAGTAGAGACTTCGCGAGAACAAGTCAAGCAAAAACAAGGTGCGCGTTTTTCGCGTCAATTTTGGCGATCTCTGCACATTACCATCCCGGAGCCTGCAACAGGCTGGCACTGCAGTGCATTGAGACGAGGCCTGTTCCAGGCGTTTAGATTGAGGGAATGGCGCGAAAAGATGTGAGCAGGAAAACCGGTGAGGGGGTGGGGTAGGGGGTGCTTTCCTCTCTGATATTTTTGCCCCGCACTTTACTACCTGGACGCCTGTAGCAGGTTAAGACAGGCTGACCTACGGTTTTTTTATCATTGAATGATTACCCACTCGTTACAGCGAGCACTTGATCTCGACGATCTTTTAGGAAAAAAACAAAGAAACAACAAACAACAACAAGAAAAACCCAAGGAGCTGAGGTGGGGGAGGATGAAAATAGTCGGTAACAACCGGTATCGCTTCTTCTCGAATTCGATACCTCTTACAATGTACTTCACAAAACGTTCGCTACCCTTTACGCAAACCTTTGAAAATAACCCTCTAAAGCCACTAGAAAAATATTAAAAAATGATAAAAATAATCATAATATGTTTCTTGTTCTTCAAAACGTTGCCCTCCGAAGGTACTGCAAATTTGGGACTTAGCAAAAAAATAGCCGTAGGTTTAGATTATCATAACAACAACTTTGCACGTGATCACGCTTTTTTGTACATTACTTTCCCGCTGCGACACCACTATTAACGACGTGAAACTGCCTAATTTCACGTTTTCTGGAGGACTTGAACACATTGTTTCCTTGTGCTTTATGTACCGGTATGCAGTGTCTGTGTTTCACTTTTTTTTTTTCATTCTAATTTTCTTGCAGCTTTTAGTACGAAGGATCCTTAAAAATGAAGGTTCCAGACCTACTTACCGTCTGCTGGGGTACCTTTCTGTCTTTCAGCTGAGTATTTCTCTCTTGCTGGCTGTTTATCAGGTGAGAAAACTCCGGTCAATAGACCTTACTTTTCTGGTTAAAGAGTAGGACAATGAAACTTTCCGGGGTGTGTATTTTTTTTGTCAGAATACGCGAAAAAAGTTACAGTCAAATCAGTTCGCACTGGTAGTCGTTCTTTTTTTTTTTCATAGTTTAACAAAAAAAAAAAACAGACACCCCGGAAAGCTTCATTTTACGCCTTTTTGACCGGAAAAATTAACACGGTTGTTTTTATTGAAGAACGTTAAGCCGTCTCTCTCTCGTAAAATGAGAAAATTTTAAACATTTGATATATTTTTTAGTTTTCTCAAGTACGATATTCTCGCTTAAACTCCTAGTAGAATGGCGACGCAAAAAAATGACGAAATAGAGACCTTAAGAGTAAGGTTTTTCGGCATTTAAGGTTTTTCGGCATTTCCCGCGAACGCCAAGAATTCACGTGACCAGTCAGGTTTGTTGTTTGAGGTACACGTTTGTACGGTTAGGCCACGCTCCAGAGTTAAGTGATTTACCGCAAGGGTTTTTGCACCCTAAAATATCACAATCCCACGTTTGAGAAGAAAGACGACTTTTTTGGATGAATGAATACTAACATGGCAGCCGCGAGCTACCACCCGCGAATCTTAAGTTCCAAATATGGGCAGACGGGTAACGTGAAACCGTTAACCGCAAACCACAGTTTGTCGTTTGCAGTAAAATGACCAAACCTCGATCTTAAGGTGTCTAATGAGGCTGGTTCACGCGTGCGCACTACTTGCGATTGAGAAAATATCATCCTCGCCTTAGGATCTGAGGGTCTCTGATAGACAAAAATATTCCTAGTTTTAGGAGCCAATTAAAACGCACGGGGACAACTGTCTAATGATTTGGTAATACTAATAACTGTTATGTAAAGACCTCCCAAATTGACTTTCCTATATGCCAGTTTACCTATTCTCGAGGCAGTAAATTGTATCTGTACCGACACTTTCATTGTAACGAAGTCGGATGATAATTTCGTCAATTTTCGTTGCTCTGAATAGCGTTTGAAGTCAAGCAAGTCGGCTGAGCATGCTGTCGTATCTGATAGCCAAATGACAACACGCCTAGGTCCTCCCACCTCCGGCATTAGATGTGCACTGTGTTTAGAACGACTCCAAGGTAAAACTGCCACTCCCTGTGGACATTTGTTCTGTTGGAGCTGTATTACAGAATGGTGCAGCAGTAAGGTAAGACCGGCCTTATTGGCATCAAAACGGTTTCACTAATTGCAGTAAGGGGTTATTGCTTTGGTGTTACGAAGCCCGAATTTATGCCAGTTATTATTTAAAAGAGCACCTTATTTGAGGGTCAATATATTTAGCACGGAAATACTAAATGGGCACAATATTTTTACGTCTCCAACCGGAGACGCAGCCATTTTAGGAGGACATCCGAGCCATGTGAAGGTCTAGCCGCTTGCTTTCTCAGTTATTTTAAGTCCCGGAGTGATTGGTCCGGTCCCGGAAATCGACCCGCGAGTTTAACCCTTTGACGACGCTTTAGTCGTTCTTTTTCCATCCTCCAGTCATGTCCAATACTGCCGCACTGTTACGGACCGTTAAGAGCAGTTGACGGACCGTACATTCTGCACAAACCGTCACTATTACTCACGGTCCGTATGCTGAGCACATACGGAGCGTGCATCTCATTATTACATGAGGGCACAATGCGTTACGGTCCGTTCGATCCGTACGGTCCGTAGAAATACGGAGCGTGCATGTCATTATTACATCAGGGCACAATGCGTTACGGTTCGTTCGATCCGTACGGTCCGTACGGCAAGAAAGGCGCACTCCAAATGTAATATTCCTGTAATATTCCTCGTTCTATAAATTAACCATAAACCAACACAAGCGCAAAAACCAAGAAAGGCGCACTCCAAATGTAATATTCCTCGTTCTATAAACCATAAACCAACACAAGCGCAAAAACCAAGAAAGGCGCACTCCAACTGTAATATTCCTCGTTCTATAAACCATAAACCAACACTAGCGCAAAAACCAAGAAAGGCACACTCCAGATGTAATATTCCTCGTTCTATAAACCATAAACCAACGCAAGCGCAAAGCCACACATTCCTCGTTGTATAAACGATGTACCAACAAAAGCGCAAAACCACACATTCCTCTATAAACCGTAAACTAACACAAGCGCAAAAACCAAGAAAGGCACACTCCAAATGTAATTTTCCTTCTTCTGTAAATCCAAACAACGCAAATACCACAGTATGCACTCTCTAAGAGATGCGATTTACGGACCGTAACACACACTTTACAGACCGTATACCCCTGTTGTCGATCCGTTCGATCCTTTCGGATCGACAAACCGTATATAACCACTCTTGCCATGAAAATATTCTAAGTCCCACTAATGAGATGCGACTTACGAACCGTAAAACACACTTTACAGGACGTATACCCCTGTTGTCGATCCGTTCGATCCGCGCAGATCGACACATGGCTTATACGAACCGTTACGGTGCGGGTGTATTGGACAACCCTCTGGAAGGATGCATATTTTTCTTCTTTAACCCATTTACCTTTCAGTTTAAGCTATTGAGTTGGTAAGCAGCAACATGAGCTAGGATTATCTCTCCACAGACACCTTGTTTTGGAAATTCCGACCAATCCTGACAGAGTTACAGACAAAAAAAAAAGTAACATTCTGGGGGAAATATCCACTTTACCTTTTACTCTTTACAGATTACAGAGAATTAAACAGTCATCTAAAATATAAAATATGGACACTCATCTTTAACCAAGAGCTGTTTTGATCCCAAGGATACCACACTGTCCATATAAAGCGCATCTCTATAAAACGGACACCTCTGTAGCGTGCCTCTCATTGCTCCCTGTTGCTGAGACCCCGGCAACGCAGAGTGTTGAGAATCGACTTTATTCCTAGCCACGAAGGTGTCCGTTTTTTGAGGTAGGGTTTAAATGAAAGGTAGTACCTTTGTGTACAGGAAAGCTCTCCGACAGGCCCGGGGGAAACGAGTGGACTACAGCCCCATGTGCACCAAAGTTAAACATGTTTTAAAGCTGATTAGTTAAACACGGTTCAAAATTGTCTTCTTCATAAAAGCTGCTAATCTCCTTCTCAGCCGTTTTTAGGGTATTCGCCATTTGTACTTCTCCCATAATACACCTTGTTTTACCCCTTTCTCAAATTTTTCAATAAGCAGTCTTCAATTTCTCTGGGGACCACTAGAATGCCCAGGAGATATTAAGGCAAAGGTTATTTATTTATTTATTTATTTTTTATTATTATAATTATTGTTAGTATTATTAATTATTATTATTATTATTATTATTATTATTATTATTATTATTATTATTATTATTATTATTATTATTATTATTATTATTATTATTGGATCATTTGACCTTTCTGGGAAACTGCCCCTCCCCTGAACCAACATTAACACTTAGAGCAAAATGTTGGCTTAGGGGAGGGGTAGGTGGGCAGTTTCACGGAAACGTAAAATGATCCTCTTTTTGAGGGGAGGGGAGGGGAGGGGGGGGGGCAAATAAGGTGTATTATTTTGAGAGATGTACAAATGACGAATCCTGTGTAAAAGCCTTTGTTCCAGATTTCTTGGTCTGTTTTTTAATTAATGTTTAGTTGGTGTCAGTGAGGCATATATTGACTTTTGCTTTGTTTCCTTGTTTTTCCTTCCAGGCTGAATGTCCTCTTTGTCGTGAACCAGTCCAACTTCCAAGACTTGTCTTTTTGCATCATTATGAACCCACGTGACCTACGACTGAAACACATTTTGATATTGTATATTGAGAAGCGTTCAAATACAATCAATCCAGCTGTAGACAGTTATGAGCTGTACACGTTCTTGACGCTTGAGTCGACGCTAGAGTAGCCTGTTTGTTAAAGTATTGGTCGTTTAAAACACCAACAGCTCAGAAAACACGTCGCACAGTCGAGATTCATTCCTCGAGCTGAGGCTGAGAAGTTTACAAGAAAATTTAGAGCCTGGGAACAAAGCCATTTGTACGGAGAAACAGAGTACTGTGGAAAGTCAAGACAGTACCAGCCTTGGACTCACCGGCTGTACCAACCCGTAGTCATCGGGGTACGGTGCTTGTCCAAAGATCTTTCAATCCTGAGACCTGAAATTAGCCAGCCGATCCGTGAAGCGAACAAACAAACAAACTCAATCGTCGGTAGTATAAATCCACTGCAAGGAATCTTTTTTTCACCCATTGGTTAAAAATGTAGGGCATAAGCATACTCGAAGTTTATTAGGACTGGATGCACATGCATGTCAAAGTTTCATCAAGGAAATCATTCTTTCCAAACGTCCCACCTTTTAAAAACTTTGTATCACCGTTTCCAGCGATATTATCTCTCAACTTTGCGCTGCCTTTAAGCAGTTGTATTAGTGAAACTATAGTTATCTCCCTTTATTGCGGACACTGTGGGGACCCGAGTTAGTAACCTCATAAGCGAGAATCCGTAATAGCGACAGTTTATTTCAGTCAAAAGTTTTTAAGTTGTTTTTGCCGGGGATCTAGCTGTCCGTGTTCTTGTGGTGTCCGCAAGGCGAGAGTTGAGTCCATTTGAGAACCTCCCTACAAACATTGCTTAATCGATATAGGATTACACAAGCTGGCTCAGTGACCTGGAATTATAAGGAACGTTTTCTTCACATTTTCTTTACATTTTAGGGCGATCACAAGGATAATTCTCAGCGTAACAGATCGTTGCAAAATTGTTGTGGCATTTGCGCGACATTATTCCAACATTGTTGCTGTAAAAATCATCGTTGCGAATCTTAAAAGCCATCAGTTTTTTTGTGTGCTCGGAGGTGAATAGCACAGGCCATTTACTTACTTGCTTTTTTTTAAAGCAAAAATGTTGTTTTTTATGCCCATCAGTGCTCTGCCTTTAAAGTTCTAATAACACAAGGTATTTTTCCTTCAGCTTTGAGAAGAAATATTCGCACAAGAGCTGATTTAGATCAAAATTTACTTCCTACTTACCTGTCTTCAGCGGATGCCGCCCTGTCTCAAGTTTTCGATACTCTCTGTGTTTATAGATTTGCTAGTATACTCTAAATGTTAAATTAAATGAAATTCTGGTCAATTGTGGACCTCAGTTACAAACATCACTTCGTTTATTAAATAAACGAAGTGAAACGTTATGAAGTGTGACTATATGTTTGTTCAGGTTGGATATGTAAAGCTGTAAGCTCATATTTCGAAGGCTCTCTTGAATATACTTACTTCCGATAAATTTGACACTTTTTCCAATATTTTTTTTCAGCATCGTAATTTCCATAGTCCTTTGATGTCCTCGCTCGGCAAAAACGATGTAACCTATAAATCGATCGAGCGTGTTGTTGTTGAATCTAACACGATTGTCCACACGATTGCGGTTTAGTTTCCTTCCTCGATTTCAGTACCAAAAGACAATTTCGATATGCAAGAAAAACAAAGACGCATGATGTTATTTTTTCAATGAATCATTTCTTCTGCCGGTTCGCTTCTAGCTTATCAAAATATTTATGCACCTATCAATGTAAAGCCGGCGGGAGGGGGGAGGCAGGGCATGGGTTGGGGATCTGACATTTTTTAAAAATATGCAGTCAAATTCCCTGCCCACGGGCAAATCATTCCAGTCAAATGCAACCAAATTTCCCCACCCCGTGCTGCACATTGCTCTGTCAAATATCTCAAGGCTGGACCCAAGAAAGGCTCAATAAAAATATCTCCAAATAAAACTCTGAAATCTTTATTTATATTACGTTGCTGCATCATCAAAGATACATGTTCCTATTACAGCTGCAATTATACGTTTTAACCATAATCCGTATTACACTGCGTAGAATACAGAGACCTTTAGGAGAAAGTCCACATTTTGTAAGTTTAAATATACCGTTCTTAGTAAAGGGTACAAAGAAAGTCATTTTTATAAGCTTACAGTGATTGTAGTGAATGAGCCATACTCTAATCAAGTGTACTTGCAAAAATCGACTTGGTTGCTCTTTACTTCCGTTCACTTTGATACCCCAGTAACTTAAGAGGTTCAATTGATCAAAAACACGCTAAAACAAACGAAATTTGAAGACAAAACAGTGAAATCCACCCAGCTTTCGCTTGTTCTCGTTGGCCTCCATGATTTCCAAATCTTTCCAGACCGTACGGTGCATGCGTGAAGCGTGGAAGTCGGAAACGTGTCTTTGGTCTCAGCCTTTCTCGTCCGAGTCGGCAGTCAAATATCTCCAGGTCGGGCGAAGAAAGATTCAAATATCTCCTCCCCTGAGAGAACAAGATCAGTCAAATGCCCTTCCCCAGGACCAACAAAGACCATCAAATCCCCACCCCATGCCCTGCCTCCGCTCCGCCGCCCCCCCTCCGGCAAAACATTGATAAGTGCATTACTGTGGGAAATACACACATTACCCGCTGACTACCACGCAGGGTGACCGCTTTGGAAGTTGTGACAACATCGTTTCTCGGTTCCAGACCTCGTCTCTTCCGAACTCTGTTTTGAACCAAGTTCGCGCCATTCATCCTTGCTTGTTGGAGGCTACTCCAAGGAAAAGTTAATAATTAATGATGTCAATTTGTCATGAACGACAATCGAAAAACCACGCCACGCTACACTAAATATTACAAAAGAAAACAAGAACTGGAGTATCACGCAAAAATAAACTTTACAGGCTCGACTCTTTTGGGAAGAATGTGTAGTAATAAATGAGTAATATATTATGTAATTCAGTGTAATTATTAAGCAATAGAAAACGTTAACGTTTTCCGTGTTTGCACAGCCTGATATAAACACGAGAGGGGTTGGGAGAATTCGAGACAGTTATGCCAACCCGAGACGAAGTCGAGGGTTTGCATAACGCCTCGAGTATTTTTATCAGGCTATGCAAACACAGGAAAAAAGTTTTCTATTGCTTTTATAAAATAAATTTCCCGAGAAAAGACGCAAAACTCTTTTTATGGCACTGATTAAAAGAGAAATTCTTACCAGTCGCAAAGTCTTGTCCACGAAGTCTTGCACGCGTAATCAGTTCTTGTTTTCAAAAGGATGCTTTCCAAAATACGGACTTTTCTCGCTTAAAATGTCAGCGTAAGCGAAAACAAATTGACACACTTTCTTTGTAACGATTTTCCAAGTTTCAGCCGACGAAGGAATGGGTAAATAAAGTAAGCTTGTCGAGTTTTGAACTCGAAAAAGTTTTCAAATTCGTGCTTGCGTGATTAGCGCGCGAAGCAAAACATCTTGACGCCCAACCTCGTCCCCAGGGCCGAGTTGTTCAAAGCTGGGTTAAGATAACCCAGGGTTAGTGCGAGATTTGATTTCAGATTTGAAAGCTTAAAAAGCATTTCAGTTTTAATTCTTTTTGTCTACAAGCTGATGATTGGAAGCTCTAAAAGTAACAGGCACAACTATCCGAGAAAATGCTTTTGAACACAAGAAAAAGAAACCAGGGTTAAATTTAACCCCGGGTTAAGCGCTAATCGGCCTTCCAACAACTGGGCCCAGGGCTTTTCCCTCAAAACATGGGTGGGGCGAGAAAAGGCCCTGGCATCGGCTGGTCACGTGTACAGCCTAAAAATTCCTGAGAAGCTAATTTATATGCAACCCGCTGGTTTTGGGCTGACAGAAGGGAGTAACATTGGAAAATAATAACATCGCGAACTATGTCAATATTTTCGCGTGTGTGCGATTCAAAAGTTTAAGATCCATTTAATTGCGCATTATTCAAATGCTAGAAGTTTATGAAAGGGCGTACCGGCTCTACGTTGTCACGTACAGACGCAACCTCGTAAAAGGTTGGTGGGGACGAGGTTGCTTGACGCCACAACCATGTTTACATACTCTCATGCAAACACTCCTCTCGGCCAATCAGAGCGCGCGTACTATCTTAGTTATTTTATAATAAGTAATATAAACTGAAGTCATTGGAGTTTATAGAAGAAAATGAAGAAAAGGTTAGTATTAATTTCTTTAAATCGACTCCTTGAGTGCTTGAAGGAATTGTTTAACAAGTGTACAAATAACATATAATAAGTTCAAATCTGGGAACGGATGAAACTGACGGGGCAACCCCTAAATTATGACACCATTTGATCACCATTCGTTAATTTCCCTCAATTTTGGTATAAATTTAGAGGGCCAATTTCGTAGTTATTATAACTTCTTATGATTAATTTATCAGACAGAAACCAGAATTTATGTAGCTTACTGAATAATTTAAATCAACCTATTCTTTACTGGAGGATAACAACACGCTCGATACACCTTAAACGACTTGAGGTAAAAAAGAGAATTATAATCAATGGCCTTTGCCACTAGGACGGTAATTTTCATCGAGATGCTTGCATTTGGAATTGGCACATTTTTGTATGTTGCAGGTATGTGACATGTTTAGTGCTTTATTTGTAGAAAGTTGAACTTCAGTTGGTTGAGACGGGAATAAATCTTTGCCTAAAAAGGCGGAAACAGTGAGTTTTGTATAAGCGTGGGTTGGAAATTTCAAACAAAAGCTACAAAATTATTGTAAGATAGCGAAATAGGAATCATTAGTGGAAATTATGAAGGTGAGATGACTTGAAGGGCTAATATACATGACTATTCTTTCGTAAAAGGCTAACGTTTTGTCATCTTACAGCTGAAAGTAAAAGATGATCAAACCTACATAATTCTCTTCTTGGAACTTTATCTGCGCAAAACAAGGATTAACGAGCAAATTCCATTTAAGTATAGTTCAAATGAAATCCCATCAGGAAAAATTTTTCATTCTCCCGCTCTACAAGCATTTTGGAAGAGGCGTAAGGGTTGCGGTGATGTGGTTTTACTCGATTTTGGTGCGGTTTTGCGGGAATTTTTATTTTAAGTTTCGGTATTGCGGTTTTACCAAGCCAAGCGGTTTGCGGCATTTAGAACTTTTCGGGTAATATCAGTGCGGTTTTCTTATGTTGTTCTGTGCGGTGTTTATACGTATTTCTGTGCGGTTTTGCGGCATTCGTACCCCCTTACGTCTCCTCCTAAAACGTAAGCCCATCCTCAACTTTGCTTATTTGATTAACATTTCATCTACACTCTCTTCACGAAAGGGTGTCCGCTCAATACAGGGTCAGTTTGCCGACCATGGGTTTGAGAATCCTAAAGTAAACTGAAAGCAGACAAATAGTTCAAATTTACAATAAACAATATCTATCAGTACGGACACCTGCTGCTTCAAGGCATAATTAATATCACCTGCAAAAAGATAACTCACTAAAATACAAAGTATGTTAACGTTGACAAAGGCAATTTCGTATCTGCATAGAAATGACTTTTCTGTGTTGAAATTAGAATAGCCAGTTAAACTGCACATCGCATAATTGAGAGCTGATTGAAATGTAGTTTGAAACGTTATAAGTTAAAATTTTTGCACTAAAGAAATGTCTTTGAAAGATCAGCAGTAGATATTTAACAATTATTCCTCGAGCCCAAATGGGCTCTGAGTCAATAGCCAATGAGGCCGAAGGCCGAATGAGCCATTGACGCAGAGGCCATGAGGGCGAGAGGAAAAATTGGTTTCGTAAAATCCAACTGGTTGGTCAAAAATATCGAGACAAAACAACTTTAGCTAACAAAACGCGATTCAGCCGCCATTGTTTGGGTTTTCAAAGCCGGCGCTTTTCGCTACTAGTGGGCTATAACATATAGGCTAGTAGTAGCTCAACCAATCAGAACGCAGCATTGATACTAGACGACTAGTTGGATATTACTAACATGATATAACCTCTGCCTAATTCAGCCCATTTTTGTTTCCAGTTGTTGCCAGAGAATACAATCGCGTTTTAATATTCAAGGAGCCAGTAGAGGGCAAAATACTTCAGGGTCACGTGATAAGGACAGAGAAGGTGGCAAATGAAGGGAGCTGCCGTGTGAAGTGTTTCTTGGAGCCCAACTGTGTGTCCATTAATGTGGGTCCTGCTGACGACCAAGGACATCGCACGTGTGAGTTGAACAACCTTACAGATGAAGGTCCATTACAAACTGGCTTGACGCGTACGGAAAAGCCAGGCCACATTCACTATTCAGCTGAGGTATCAGATATATTTGCTGATAATCATTTATGCTTGTCATTCTTAAATGATATTCGCGAAACGGGAATTCCCTTATGCTGGATACAACTAAGACTGATGGTAATCAGTGGAATAAAAACGTTTTTGGTTGGCAACAATTTCACTTAATTAAACGTAATCTAGTAAAACAATAATTAATTTAAACGAAAAAACGAGGGGCATTTGCAAACTCTCTAGGAACTAATCACTATTTAATAACAAATTAATAATTTTATAAGGAGTATCTGCTAAAACAAAATGCTTTCCCACAGAACATTTGTCACAGTAACCCATGCCCTAGAGGGAACTTCATCTGTCAGGTGGGCTTCACAGCTAAACGCTACCGATGTGTTTGCCGCGATCGTTTTAAAGGAGAAAACTGCGACGAAGGTATGAATCGTGAGGTTGACCTTGTTGTTTTGTATGTCAGTATCTGTTAGCACATTGTTTGACTCACAATCTGGGCAGTTCGGTCTCTTTACTTAATACGTGCTCCTTGTGCCAGCTTTTGTTAGAGTAGTTCATTTCGATTATTTGCCCCATGCGACATATTATATTGCCCCAGCGTATAGGTAGGGTTTTTAAGGTGGTCCAATACTGACTGAAGATGGTCGAGACCTCGGACATAAGGTTCTTCCACAGGGTACAGGTGACATCCTGAATTTCACCTCAAACTGAAGTGACAACTGTCAGCTGGTTGGCCAGTATGCTCTGCAGATCCCTTTTTCGCACCTTTTTGAGTTGAAATTCTTGAAGCCATCTGGGAGCGCACCCGATTGAAGAGGATTGACATTTAAGTTTATTGCTTGCGCCTGCCCGGCTACTAACATTTGTAAATGCTACCGTTTAGACTTTAGAACAACCCATCTTATTTAGATCTTAACAGTCTTAAATTGTTAATATCTTGATGGTAATCTTGTTTTGCATTTTTCCGCGCAGAGATCAATGAATGCAAACTTGATACAGAATGTAGAGGTGAGTTCGTGATACTTAATACATGAATTTTATTACAAACTTATTTTGCGTCATATTTCCCTAAGTTCCCCTCCCCTTTCCTGTTTAAAATAGTAACTGCGCGCAGCGCTATACATGCACGCGCTTCTGACACCGGATATTTGTGCCCTTGTTTGAAATTCAAGTTTTGCTGTCATTTGTCTCCAAAAATCATTAAAAATGGAAGAAAAGAAGATGTTCAAATAGCTCTGCAGAATTGAGCTTATTATTTAGGACCAATTAAATGAAAACAAGAGACTATAAAGGGGACAGAAAGGGCATCCCCCATATACACCCTATTCCATAGGTAATTCGTCTCGAGTTATTTTTAGAATCGGGATAAAGTTACCTCGCGCGAGGCGTGGATGTTTCGTGGAGGTTTCGCATGACCAAACGCCGTGCAAAACATGTCGGGCGAGAGGCAATGAAAGCGTAAAAAGATCGAGAGCATTCCTAAATATTGAAGCGAAATGAGTCGACGTTCACCTGGGAAAAAGGAATCGCTGGACTCTTTGACAACCCGTGAAATCAGTTTAACTCGAAGTTGTCGTAACCTCAGTGCTTTAATAAAATGAGAAATTTCGCCGGTCTATTGAAACCGGTCGTTTGTACAATTTTAGGGAGTTTAAGATCCAACGACGCGGACGACAACTAGAACGTCTAAAAACAATAGGTTTAATGAGCAAAACAACAACTTCGCACGTGCAACACACTTTTTTGTTCATTTCTTTCCCGTTTTTGCACGACTACGACGTGAAAATGCCTAATTTCGCGTTTTATGGAGGACGTAAATAAGCAACGACGAAATTTTATTTCTCTTTCTGAGCTTGAATATGGTCCCTTGAAATTCAGCTTTAGGAAGGTTCGCCTACAATTAACAAAGTAAGTGGGTAGGAGTAATCGCTATAAAGAATGAAAAAAATAAACATCAAACCAGAAATTGCTCTCTTCAAACTGTAAATTGTAAATGATCCTGAGAGAATATTCAGTGTGTTAAGGATTTCCCTGCTCTACTGTTAGCTCTATACAAGAGAGGAAGGGCGATTCTTTTTTAATTTCGGTTTTGCTGACACAGCTTTCGCAGAAATCTCGCTGTAGTCGTTTTCGTCGACAAAAGGAATAGCAAAATCGCTCTCCGCGTCTTCCCCCATTTTGTTCTGCGTCATTTCGTGAAGGACGCGTGGCTCTCAGCGTGGGTCATCCACGCGGAACACATTCGCGCCATGTGATTGGCTGTTGTCTAATCCCCCTTGAGATCTGTGGTGTTAAAAATAACTCGAGACGAATTACCTATGAAATAGGGTGTATATGAGGGATGCCCTCTCTGTCCCCTTTATAGTCTCTTGATGAAAAATGTTAGTTTCAAAAACGTTCACTTTTTTTGTATATGGCTAATACCTAACTGGTCCTTCCTTGATGGTTATCATGACCCCAAAAACCCGTGCAGTAGCTTAATAGAGAAGTACCCTGAGACTTATAATGTGTGCTTCCCCGTAAGAAAAAATTAACAAGAAAAGCAGTTCCGTTTAAATAAACCGTGATTATCCACAGCCCTTATCAAGTATATTAAGAAGAAAAATAGGCTTTTTAAAAAATATCTGCGGAATCCGACAATAGATCGTCAATCAATTTACAAAAGCTATAAAGCCAAATTAAATCATTCTCTGCCGAAAGCGAAACCTCTCTACTACGAGAAAAAATTGAATAATGTTTAATCATAAACCCATGAGTTTCTGGTTCAATATAACACTCGTACTACTTGGAAAGTTTTAAATGAAATTTTAAACAGAACGAAAAAACATTCCAAGTGATGTTCACTGACATTTAAAGCCGATGATCGTGAAATTACTGATCCTGTCGAAATTGCCAACAGGTTTTGTAGTTACTTTTAAAGCATTGGTCCTAATTTTTCAAGGGGTATACAGTGTACAGCTTCAGACCGTAGTTTTCTTAATGGTTCCTGTACACAGTCAATATTCTTCAACCCTACAACCCAAGATGAGATCGCTGAAATTGCTGGGCAAAGCAGGTGGCTATGACCAGATTCCAATGACAGTCATTAAGGAGTCCATTCTACTCGTTTCCGAACCACTCACCCATATCATAAACTTGTCTATTCAGCATGGCATTGTTCACGATGAAATGAAAATTGCTCGCGTGATACCTATTTTTTATATCTGATGATCAGTCGCTTTTCACCAACAACCGACCTATCTAGGTACTTCCCAGCTTTTCAAAATTCTTAGAAAGAGTTATCTACAATCGTTTAATGCAATACCTTACGAATTTCAACATCCTCTGTAGCAACCAATACGGCTTCAGGAAAAATCATTCCACTGCACTCGCACTAATCTACTTGCATGATAAGATCTCCACGGCCTATGACCGAGGTGAATTTGCCGTAGGCATTTTTCTTGACCTCTCAAAAGCCTTCGACACTAAAAATCATGCTATTCTTTTAATAAACTGGAACATTACCGTATTCGTAGGTTAACGCTGGACTGGATACGAAGTTACTTTTCAATCAGAAAGCAATATGTTGAATACAATAGCTACCGTTCGTTAAGGGAAATGAAATCTCTTGAGGGGTTCCTCGGGGGTCTATCCTCGGACCTCTATTTTTCTTACTTTACATTACCGACATTAACAATGCTTCTAATCTATTAAATTTAATACTGTTCGCGGACGATACCACGGTATTCATGTCACATATAGATCTAAACTATCTTTCAGATTTGTCTTGCTATTCTGCAAGAGCGCTTTATTAGAATTATTAATAAATCACATTTCAACGCTCATACACATCCCGTCTTTAAGGACCTTGGTATACTAAAATTTAATGATATCTATTTGCTTCAACTGGGCCAATTTATGTTTTCTTGCACAAGTTCATTCTTACCTCCAAGGTTTAATAACAACTTCTCCCAAAACAATCAATTCCACTCTTACAATGCAAGAAATTCCCAGGCCTACCGTCTACCGTGTTCAGCGGTCGAACAAACACTAAGAAGTTCTCGCCCTTTTTTCAAGGACTTAAGTTTTTGAATTCACTTGACAACGAGGTCATCAACTCTCAACCCCCTTCCTGTTTTAAGAAAATACTGAAGATTAAATTATTAACTAAATATGAAAACAGTTCATAAATCTTTCCATCTTCGACTTTTCGCCATATTTTTTTGAATTGATGTTAAACAGCTCTAGCCCGTGGTTCGAGCAGGCCAAACTTCTCATAAGCTCCCATAGTTTCTGTTGGGTCTTCTCGCCACGTCTTTTTCTACTTAAATTCCTATATTACTTGTAACTGCTTCTATTGTGTGGCAAATAAAATAAAATAAAAAATAAATGTATAAAATAAAATACCTATGAAATATCAGCATTAACCCTATTCAGACGTGGCTTTTTTTTCTTCACGCGACTGGCCGGGAGGCTTCGGAGGCTCCCTCTATAACTTCAAGTCAAGACCGCTCATTCTACAGCCACCAAGATTACACACAATAATGTACTCATCATCTCTAACTTCTGGGCTTAACTTGATTGATCGAATAACGTTATCTGACGTCATTATGACGTCATATTTTTCAGTAACCAGTATCCAAATTTTCTTTAAAGTAGACATTAAGCGAAAAATACTTATTACAATAAATGGTTAAGTCTCTAATAAAAACAAGGAAGTTGGCTAACATCTTTAACATCTTTAACAATAGCAAAGATGTCATTATGACGTCATTTATTTGGAAGCATGCACTATCTTGGATCCGCCAGTTTTAGTTAGTTAAATGTATTCCATTTTACTCGCATGTATCTAGGCACTTTAACAGAAAACTTAATCTGAGTATAAATTGATGCTTAGCAAGCAAAAAAAAAAAAAAAATCCTCGAAATATGAAATTCCGAAGGAAATTAACACTGTTGAAAATTTAACTCCGCATATCGAACTCATGTTTTTTCTTCCTCAGACTAGACACCAAAAAGCCTGGATTACGACAACTTTGATAAAATAATGCTAACCTAAGTGTAATATAATAATTCGATCAGCATAAATAGAAATGCCACCTATTTTTAAGAGAGAATGAAAATTTTGAAAAACATGGTTGTCGAAACTCGCTTGTCATGGTAACATCAATTTTGACGTACACGTCACGACGATTTTAAAATGTTTCCACGTGAGTTGTAGGAAACGTCGCTTAGTTCGGTGGTCCTAGCTGGAACAGTTCAGAAGTAATGTTCAACATCGTTAGCGAGGGGGTCTCAAAAGCTTCGCCGGGGTTTAGTATGGTTAAAACAACTAAAAACAATATAGTGTATGAACTGATCGAATTTCAAATAGTAAATTAACCTGTCAGCAGTTTCAAAATACCCTCCAACAGTTTCATCAACAACAGAGGCTCCAGATACATCAACAGCATCTTCATCAGCAACTCAATCGGGTAGGTATTTTCCTTACGTTAGGATTAGCTCATAAGTAGAGAACTTGAATACACTGATACCGTTTTAGATACTTAATTTCAGAGCAGTAATGTTTTGTTTATGATACCTTATTATACGGCTAAATTCGTGAGCGGGCAAAATGTAGCAAATACTGTGTTCTGATGGGCAACCCACCATCAGGAAACTGCCTCTCGGGATTTACCGCGTTGGTCCCGCAAGCACAGGATGTCATTTTTTAAGCCACATATAGTAAATCCTCGATTGATTAAGCATGAGGTCAAGATGGCCGGCTGGATATATATATATATAGTTGGCCTTTTTTCCTTTTCTTTTCTTTTTCTTCTTCCTTTTTAATTTTCAACTGGACTTTATAAACTTGCAAAGAAAATAAAAGGCTTTATTTCCAATATTCAACCGTCATGACCCTATACCTAAACATTAACGCATAATCGCCTCCTACCATCTGATTCCTATTTACCGATAGCAAATCTGGTACAGTCACTTACAAACTGGGCGAGGGAAAAACAATGAGGAAATAAAAAATATAATACTCAAACAACTGGAAACAATATTGTGTCAGTATTCTTATCTTGCTCCTTAACAGATGCATCGTCATCAGAACCCGCAGTGATATCAAAAGCAGTTTCCACAGCTTCATTAGCTTCGACAAACCAACCTTCTCAACAAGGTAGGTAATTCTGTATCGTTGCTTCGACTTATACTGGCCTTGTCCGGATTTTTTTTTTACCTTGAATTCGACTTGGTCCATGAACTCGCCCCCGCCCCCGCCCCCATAAGTATCGTTTCTTACGATCTGGTTCTCTTTTTACAAAACCACTAAGTTATTTACTGATGGCAATTCTGGCACTAGCACGCAATGAGGAATTTAGAAAAATTTAAATACTCATTCACAAACAACTGGAAACAATCTAGTGTGCGTATTATTATCGTGCTCGTCAACAAATGTATCTTCATCAGAAGCCACAGTGATACCAGCAGCAGTTTCCAAAGCTTAACCAGATTCAACAAGCAAGTAATTTTCTGTGTCTTTACTGCGGCTTATATTGACGTCATAGTCTAGCTGATTATAGCTAAACCATTCTGAATCCATTTACAGGGTGTCCCAAAAGTTCTTTCCTCTAAATTTTATAAGTCTATTTTTCAGTACGATTGGACTTGGTAAGCAAATCATTTAAAATTAAAAAAAGTTGTGTCTTTCAATCTAATTCACTATTTTCATACTTGTTGTGCCATCTTTTGACTCGAATATTCGATTTGTGTACTTCCGCGCCAAAGGTGCGAGTACGGAAGTATATTTTCCAGCCAGATATTTTTTTGTATTTTATAGCACGAATTGCTCGAACTCCTTCCTTGTTTTTTGTGAAGATCAAGAAAGATAAACCCCCTTAATACAAAAACGTTCTGCTACGTGAGAGCAAAATCATGTATACTTCGATTTAATGGCTTATCTGTTGTAGAAACTGCTAAAAAAAACTGGAAAAATCCGAATGTTGGGGTGTAAAATGATCACGGAGAAATGAAGGTTTTGAAGACAAGAAACGAATGGGAAGACCAAAAGTCCTGAATAAAGCAGCTAAAAAGGTTTTAAAGAAGGCTAGATACAAAATGGGAGACTCGACGGGGAAGCTTTCACATAGTTAGCAAGCCAAGTCCAAAAATGGTCATAAAAAGCTGTTTAAAATTAGAGGTCCTTGAGACGGCAAAACAAAACATCTGCTTAGTCTGCCAAGTAACGGCCAGCTCGTCTCAAATTATATTTTTAAAGAATTACAAAAGCCGTGCTTTGGAAGGGGGCAGGGATGATATCTTTTTTGGGTGAATGCCCAAATATCTATTTTTTTCAGCTGCCTAAACTAAACAAATATTGTTTGGGCGTTGAACTGGCTCCTGCTCACTAGGTGATAAAAAAGCTCAAAATGGATCATCCTTGGGCCTACACGCTGTATCCTACTTCATGTCGCAACGGCTACAGATTGTGATAAAAAAAAAAGGGCATGCCAGTTACTGAAATTCTGAATAAATGTACTCGATAGAGTAAAGTTTTGATCAAAAGTTATAGTGCATGAAATCTGTAGCCTCCCCGCAGACGTCCTTTGGGGTTCGTTCGTCACGGATTCTTTTCTCCTCCACGGACGTCTGCTAAACATAGCCGACATTTACGTTCTAGTTTGTTTGAATAAGCCAATAAGCGATTAGTTATTGTGTCACGATCAAAAAAGAACGAGCTGTGATACAAGTGAAACGCGACGGCACCTAAGAATTATTTCTCGCTTTTTAAGAAGAATATTTATTCCATGCCTATGCATGGATGAGCATAGGCGTACGGGCTATTTTTTGCCAGGGGGGGCGGTAAACGATTTGCCCAAAAAATTTTTGCAAGTTGCCCAAAACAGTCGAACAGAAATTAGGGCAGATGCAACAACATAAGCCGTACTGGCATATGAAAATGGCTCGATACAGTTTTTCACGGTCAATACCTGCCAAGTTTGAGCATAAACTACGTCGCCATAAACAAACATTTGTAAAAATTGCCACCACAGTTGTATTAGATAAAGATGAAATTTGTTGTGATCACGGTTGCAATGACATCAGAGTTGTCATAGCAACGAAATGAAGGCATTACCTATTATACTTGCAGCAATATTTCCCTGTGGGAACTGTTCTTCTAAAATCGATCACAGGAGCTTTTTCCTCCCATAGACGCCTCAATGTTCGTGAAGTTAAAACGGAATCTGTAAGAGCGTTATCGAGTCATTTTGAGTCTTTTTAAAAACGTGGGTGAAAGATCGTGGAGATAGCTTCGGCCAATTGCTACAAGGAAGGATTTGATTAGTATGTAGCATGGCTCTCTTGTTAGCGGTTTTGTAAACATTTCAGTCTACTGCTAGCTGTAACAAATTAGTGAATAATTTTTAAACCGCTCAATAGAGTTTTTTGAAAAAATTAAGATTCTTCTCGCATTTCAAACTGTGAATTAGTCAGCCACATCTTCACTTTCGGACCCATTGCTGATGCTATCTGCCATACACTGTTCTACGAGCGGAGATGATTCTAGAAAGTTAGGCGGAAGTTTATTGTAATAAATTCACGAGTGGAAATAGCCCATTACAGTACAGTGCCCAACAATAAAAAAAATCAGCATATGATACCTCTCCCTTATAGCCAGAAACTTGTCACCTGCTAGGCCGCCACTGGATTATAACGCCGACTTCAGGTTAAAATAGAAAATATTCATCTCTTCAAAATAATAATAAAAACATGGGGACGTCTTTAAAAACTGGCTTTGCCCAAATTTTCTCGTGTTGCCCAAAAAATCTGAGTTGCCCAAAATTTGGGGGGGCTGCAGCCCCCCTCGCCCCCCCCCCCCGGCCCGTACGCCTATGTGGATGAGACTCCGAAGAAAGTTATAAGAAGCAATTTTTTTTTCTTTTCTTTGCAGCTGTAATTTAGGAAAGGACCAAGTTCGTGTGTTTAGAAAAAGCGCAGTCGACATCGCAAGGCTCATCAAACGTGCTCTGGACGTTGATTTGTCTTTGTATTCTTCAAGTGAATTATTTATTTGCACAGCCATCTTCTACCTGAGACGACTCAAACGTTTTGAAAAAATCACAGAAATGATGCAATAAAGCTGTAGTCAGCTGTATAGTTTTTTCGGAAGTTGTTGTAAGTATAAAATAATCTGCTTTTCTTTGAAAGACTTCAGACAACAGTCTCCCACAAAAGCGCGGAGCGGTTTTCAGCGCGGTCGAAAACGATTACTATTAACTCTGTATATATTCGAAGTATTAAGAAAAGAGAACTTGTAAACGTGTATAGGGAAGATTTTCAAAGCGTTCTTCGAAAACAAAGGCTGTTTCCTTTTTTGCGAAATGTAATTCGACCAAGGTCATGGGTCGCGGACCAGGGACCATTACGCGAAATTTGGTTATATTTTTTCAAGAGTCGGTAAAACAAAAAAAATTCGAAGTCTACAGCAATGTGCTTTCAACGGCAGAAAAAGGTTTATCTGAAAACGGCACTTCTTCTCGTTGCGTTTTATTTATTCACAAGCTAAGTAAACATGACCACGGTGCCGCAGAAGTCCAAACTTCAAGCTAGAACGACAAATAATGAACCTACTTGTCAACAAACTTTAATCTCGTTCCTTGAAAGAAAGAAAGAATGCTTATAATCAATAACTCTTTGAACCTTTCATTCTTCATTGTATTTTACTTCTCAACGAAATATTTAATCATGCTTGGAAAAGTCGCGGACCAAGGACCACATACTAACAGTACAAGTCACTCGCAAACATTTAGCTACCTTTCCTCCACCGATCGATCTTCAACCAAGCTTCTGGGCTTCCGTAAACAACAGAGAAAGCCCCTCTCCCGACAACCCTCATATTCTCTTCGCTAATATCACTGAGCGTTACAGCAGAAATACCAATATTTTCCAGCTTTGTAGTTTGATCTTTCATAAGATTTATCAGGGGCGAAACAACAACAACAATAATGTCCAGTATACGTAGTTCCACGCACTGTGTCTCAAACAAGCGGCCAAGCTTGATAGATAAGGGATTTGCCAAATCCTACCGGCAAATTTATGAACTCATCGGTCTTCGCTATAAAATTTGCAGGATAACTTCTCTCTGATACTTGTTTAACTCTGTATTAATTACAAATTTCTCGCACACCCGATCAAAAGCCTCACTGAATCGTGCGAATCTTAACAAGCGGCTCGGGTTACGTTTTACAAAAATCCGTAAACGGCCTGTGATTGGTGAACGTAAATGTTGGCTGTGTTTAGCAGACGTCCGTGGCGGAGAAATGAATCCGTGACGAACGAACCCCAATGGACGTCTGCGGGGAGGCTATGAAATTAGAGGAGCGAACTTTTGGGACACCCTGTATACCGCCCGAAAGGTGTAACTATCTACATTTGAACCCCTTTAATACAGACACTGTTCTGAGGCCGCCACAGATAGTACGTATGAATGACAATAGCAGGAGAGGTTAAGTATCACGTTTACATGAAACGGCAAAGGCGAAATTGTACCACGTGATCAAGTTTCCTCTTCAATCAGCTGTTCATATTTTAACATATGAATCAGTAGTTTCACGCAATTCGTATCCATAAGAATTGTTTTAAGCTGCTTTTATCTGCTCATTTTCTTTTTCAGAAATTCTCAACTTGAATCTGATGTTTGTCGTTTGCCGTATAGGTGATGCTTTAACTCACTAATATCTCTTGCCTGTGCCGTCTTCTTTCCTCATTTTTCATTACAACTTCAATCTTTACCTACAATTTTTCTTTTATTTTAGTTTATTAAATGTGACCCTTTTCCATTAGAGCGGATTTCTAACTCCGCGCATAATGAAACAAATTAAAACTCGTTAATTATGTTTTTATTCCAGCGTCATTGTCAGAAATGACAACTGTCCTCAACTGTCCTCAATTGGAAGCATCATCGACTGCCTCAACAACTGCCTCATTACAGCCGATAAGTCCGGGTATGTTCTTAAAAGCACACTATATTCCATATTTCACAAATAGGTGCCGTTGCACTAGCCTTCAATGTTTACAACAACGTTTACCGCGATACCAGGTTCCATATTCTTGTTCTTGGGCAATTTCTCGCTGTGTAACTGCAATCATGAAAGTGATCATCAAAACCCAGAGCGAACCCAGCCCAA